AATTAGTGTACAGAATTTTGAAAACCGAGAACATTCTTCTGCACTGAAAATCTGTAGCATCATTAAAAATAATGTCCGAGAGGAAACAATTAATATAGTGTTCAGTTTAACATACAGTTCTATATGCAAAAACCAGCTAAGGACGATCAATGCCATTTTAAGAAGCACCCTAGTTTCATTTCATTTACAAGTTAGGTAGTAAACAGAAAAACTAAATGTTCAGAAATTACATTTCTAATTGCATTCCTAGGCCTGTTATTTCGAGAGAAAAAACAATCTAATATTACATGCAAAAAGGACTACGTTACTGTAATATAAAATTGCTAAAGCAGAAGAAAGGACATGTTATATAAGTATTGAATTAACATTTTATTTGCTCTACTAAGCTGAGCCTAGGAGCTATTGCATTTTATCTATATCAGATGTTACCTATAGAGTGTGACAACTCATTTCATCGCTTATTAGTTCCCCACAGGTTCCTGGGGGGACTAGGTTTGCACTCTGTCTGTCCATCTGTACATCCAGCCGTCTTTCCGTCCGTCTGAGAAGTTTGTCCGGGGAATATCTTCTATACTTTATCACATGGAGTATCCAGATTTGGTGTACAAGGACATCTTGGGATGACAGTGTGCAAGAATTAGATCACTATGTAGTATGACTTGACCTTTGACCTTTAATTTTCAAAAAGTTTGTCCGGGGCATATCTTCTGTACTATTTCACCTAGAGTAACCATATTTGGTGTACAATGACATCTTGGGATGACCTCACTGAGACCTATGCTTCCTAACATAAATCATCACCGGTGGGGGACTATGAATTGCCTTGTAATACTTTGCCTTGTTGTTTTTTCAGCTAATATTTATAGGTTTCAGCTAGACTTTCCTTATCAAATACAATTATCTAAGGTGTTTGGAATTAAATCTTATTCATCACATCAGTCTCAATATGTCACACTGTATGACATTAAAAAAATAATCATAAATTGGAGAGCCTGGTGAAAATGACACCTAAAGTAAAGGCTACAGTCAGTTAAATTATATTATTTTATGGCCATCAAAACTTTGATGGGACGTATTGTGGTTAAATATTGATTGATTTTAATGAAACTTGGTAAGCATGTACAATTTACAAAGACTGAGCAAGTTTAAAGCTCAGCAAAATCTGTGAATTATTAATTAGCGTTTTGTCCTCTGATTGGTTGGTTAGTTGGTTTAAGTTTTCTTTATTACAACCATGACAGGATTTTGTACAAAAACAAAGACTTAATTTGAATTTTAGCAAAATCTGTACATAATTATTTAGCACTCCTAGTTTCTGCAAGCTTATTTGCTTAAATGTCATTCAAATTTAATCAAACTTCATAATCATGTACAATATACAAAGACTGAGTCTAACTTTAAAGTTCAGCCATATATGCATATAATTAGTTAGCGTACTAATAGTATATCCTGAATTTTTTGTAACTTAGTCAATATTTTATATTAAAGAAAGGCAAAGACTTAGTTGAGCAAATTCTGTGCATAATTAATCATCATTCTCTTGACCAATAAAGATGTTTAGACCTTAGAAAAAGACAAACCAATAAAGAGGTTTAGACCTTAGAAACAGGCAAACCAATAAAGAGGTTAATACCTTAGAAATAGGCAAACCAATAAAGAGGGTTAGACCTTAAAAATACACAAACCAATAAAGAGGTTTAGATCTTAGAAATAGGCAAACCAATAAAGAGGTTTAGACCTTAGAAATAGGCAAACCAATAAAGAAGTTTAGACCTTAGAAACAAACAAACTAATAAAAAGGTTTAGACCTTAGAAATAGGCAAACCAATAAAGAGGTTTAGACGTAAGAAGTCGACAAACCAATAAAGAGGTTTAGACCTTAGAAATAGACAATCCAATAAAGAGGTTTAGACCTCAGAAATAGGCAAACCAATAAAGAGGTTTAGACCTCAGAAATAGGCAAACCAATAAAGAGGTTTAGACCTTAGAAATAGGCTAACTAATACCGAGGTTTAGACCTTAGAAATAGGCAAACCAATAAAGAGGTTAATACCTTAGAAATAGACAAACCAATAAAGAGATTTAGACCTTAGAAATAGACAAACCAATAAAGAGGTTTAGATCTTAGAAATAGGCAAACCAATAAATAGGTTTAGACCTTAGAAATGGACAAACGTAGTATGCTTGTATCTTAGAAATTGACAAACGTAGGATGCTTTGATCTTAGAAATGGTCAAACTTAGGATGTTTGTATCTTACAAATGGTCAAACTTAGGATGTTTGTATCTTACAAATGGTCAAACTTAGGATGTTTGTATCTTAGGAATGGTCAAACTTAGGATGTTTGTATCTTAGGAATGGTCAAACTTAGGATGTTTGTATCTTAGGAATGGTCAAACTTAGGATGTTTGTATCTTACAAATGGTCAAACTTAGGATGTTTGTATCTTACAAATGGTCAAACTTAGGATGTTTGTATCTTAGGAATGGTCAAACTTAGGATGTTTGTATCTTACAAATGGTCAAACTTAGGATGCTTGTATCTTAGAAATGGTCAAACGTAGAATGCTTGTATCTTAGAAATGGACAAACGTAGGATGCTTGTATCTTAGAAATGGACAAACGTAGGATGCTTGTATCTTAGGATTGGACAAAAGAGGAAATACTGGGTTTATTGGAATTCTAACAAATCTGCAAATTCTATGTCCTTTGGCTTCTTCTATGCTTTTGTATGTTTCCAACTTGTGAGATCTGCCTGTCTGATGTAAATACAGCAAGCCTGTAGTTACATCTTATTGGTAGTCTCGGCCACATACAATCTAGAAACCTATCTTACATTCCTGTCCACCCAATCCACACACTTGCTATTCTGGTCGTCCACCCATATGGTGTTTGAGGGCGATCCTGTACATTACCAAGCTTGTACGACACCTCCAGTACATTACCGTCCAATCCACTGGTTTTGTCTGCAGCTCCGTTCTCACCTTTCAACCGTTTGCATTAACATGAACTGTATGGTATATTACAGCTAGATAAAAGTGGAGCTATGTAGTAGGACTGGGTTGAAGGTCAGATTCAGGATAATTATGCACGGGAGATTTTGGATGACTCTGCACGTTGCCCGCGGCCCCAATCTGTAGGTATGCTGATGCTATCTGTTGGGTAGGGAATGCAGCCTATTTTATGCATCAAGGACTTTGAAAGGGCTTCAGTAAATTATCCTTCCCTCCAAAAAAACATAATTTTGTACATGACTAGAAAAGTAATTAAAAACAAGTCCTAATAGGCCGATCTAACTGAAAATCGGTCTAGGAAAGATCAGCTCATGGTCCTAACGTTATACTTAACAATTTTTTACGCAAATTGGTACATATTTCAACAACAAAAATAAATACTGTAGGACTCAGGTGACCGTTAAGGTCCATGGGCCTCTTGTTATTATATGCAACTAAAATGGAAAAATTATAACCCAAAGGTAAATAAATAAATAAATCACCCAATCAATTTGTTAGAATTTTGGGTGGCTTGTCATTGACGTGGTAATTTTAATTTCAATAAACTTTATTGTCAAAGGACAAATGGATTGGGCAGCAGGCATAGCCTATTTAAGCCCTTTCCAAACATAGTAACAGACAGTGGTACAAGCGTAGACATATACATTAGAACACGTACAAACACATATAAACAAGTTGGTATTATCAAATTAATAATCAAATTAAGGGAAACAACTACTAATACTCATTTTTATTATAATTGAATCTAATGGTTTGAATTCTAACCTTTTATTTTGAGTGTTTCAGTGTCCTCAGGTCCATGACAAGTGTTTTAGTGTCCTCAGGTCCATGACAAGTGTTTTAGTGACCTCAGGTCCATGACAAGTGTTTTAGTGGCCTTCGGTCCAAGAATAATTTGTTTCAAGCCAATAAAACTGACTTTTTAGCCAATTCACTTTTCAAGTAATTTCAAATGTGTCTATTTGTAGGAAACATTCCTTAAATATATATATATTGGTTGGTTTAATGAAGCATCATAATTTATATTTTGGTCAATGTATCATATGTATATATATGTGGGTGGAAAAATGATGGATAGATTGGCTCTAATGTTTTATCATTTACAGGAATGAAACGTTTTTGAAAATTTAGGTCATAAAGTCGACTTGTTTGATAAGACAGTTTGTATTATTTGTGTTGGGGACCTTGTTTTTGTGGTTATTTGACAATGGTTACGGCTGGTCGATGTGAAGCATTGTTTAATATATAAACAAGTTTTCAGAACTTACACTCACAATTACCTGAACAACGAGTTTCTTGTTGATAAAAATAAACCTGATTGTGCATTGAAGTACAGAGATAGGGAAGAAAGATAGATACTTTTATGTACAATCTAAACAGTTTGTTACCGGCAATTAAACTTTTTCCATAGCTCCATATTACCAGCATGTGAAACATTTATGTTTTTGTGTCAGTTTGACTTGACTGGTAGTATTGTTTTTGCAATGGAATCAGTCGGGCCACTCATTAAAACTCACCCAAAACTTGGGTTGATGATTCCAGGCCATGAAAAGACAAGAGGATGAACTCCATTGCAAATCAACTTCATACGTCAAATGTCAAGGTCATGGTTGAAAGATATTGTTTATGGATGGCACACCTTGTAGATATTATACTACATTATATTTAGATGTTACAGCCAGGTCAAGGTCACTGTTCTATATATAGAACTGTTTGGCACCCATATATATATACACGTGTCATGAAATTCATTTGTCATTAAGAATGAAGTTGCCAGAGTGTTATTTATCAAGGCAATTTATGGCGCACTGTAGTCTAGTGGAAGGAAGCTGGGCTGGTGACCGAGGGGTCGCAGGTTCAAATCCTGTCATGGCATTGTGTTGTATCCTCGAATAAGATACTTACCTCTTTAATTGATGAATGATGTAATTAGTGTTCCTGGGTTAAGCACAGGTGATGTTGAGGAGTTGTCATGTAATGTTAATGTGTTGTCAGGAGTAAGGGACAGGTGATGTTGAGGTGTTGTCAGGTGATGTTAATGTGTTGTCAGAAGTAAGGGACATGTGATGTTGAGGTGTTGCCAGGTGATGTTGAGGTGTTGTAAGGAGTAAGGGACATGTGATGTTGAGGTGTTCTCAGGTGATGTTGAGGTATTGTCAGGTGATGTTGAGGTGTTGTCAGGTGATGTTGAGGTGTTGTCAGGTGATGTTGAGGTGTTGTCAGGAGTAAGGGACAGGTGATGGTGAGGTGTTCACAGATGATGTTGAGGTGTTGTCAGGTGATGTTGAGATGTTGTCAGAAGTAAGAGACAGGTGATGTTGAGGTGTTGTCGGGTGATGTTGAGGTGTCGTCAGGTGATGTTGATATGTTGTCAGGAGTAAGGGACAGGTGATTTTCAGGTGTTGTCAGGTGATGTTGAAGTGTTGTCAGGTGATGTTGAGGTGTTGTCAGGTGATGTTGAGGTGTTTTCAGGTGATGTTGAGGTGTTGTCAGGTGATGTTATTGTGTTGTCAGGAGTAAGGGACAGGTGAAGTTGAGGTGTTGTCAGGTGATGTTAAGGTGTTGTCAGGTGATGTTGAGGTGTTGTCAGGAGTAAGGGACATGTGATGTTTAGGTGTTGTCAGGTGATGTTGAGGTATTGTCTGGTGATGTTGAGGTGTTGTCAGGTGATGTTGAGGTGTTGTCAGGTGATGTTGAGATGTTGTCAGGTGATGTTGAGGTGTTGTCAGGAGTAAGGGACAGGTAATTTTCAGGTGTTGTCAGGTTATGGTCACTTGAGGTAAAAAAAAGTATAAAAACAACGGCAACAGAAAATGAAATTAGACAAGAAAACAAAGCCAGTACAATGATGTGTATACACCTTCCCCTTGTCAATATCAGAAATACTTTTTTTCATATTTTTCTGTATTATTTTCATTAAATCACAGGAAGTGATCCTACTTTGAATATGTAAAAAGGGTGGAGCATTAAACACTAGTGTTATAAATGTGTTATGTTGGTGGGATAAACAGGAAGTGATCATACTTTGAATATGTAAAAAAGGGTGGAGCATTAAATACTAGTGTTATAAATGTGTTATGTTGGTGGGATAAACAGGAAGTGACCATACTTTGAATATGTAAAAAGGGTGGAGCATTAAACACTAGTGTTATAAATGTGTTATGTTGGTGGGATAAACAAGAAGTGCCCATCATCAATGCTAAATTTAGGCGAATAGTTTTTGCAAATTTATTCTCTTTTTTTCTGTTTAATTTAACTTCATTGCTGCACATATAGAGTTCCATTCTTTAGATCTGGTTATCTCCTCAGTCAATTTGACACACCAGCTTTGCTGGTTAACCTATATAATGAATGGATTCCCAGGTCACAGGGGTCAAATATGTCAAACTCTTCAAACGACTTCTTCTGAAGAACTAAAAGGTATAGAATCTTTATATTCGACTGGTGGCTTCCTGGGATAGAGCCCAACACAGTTTGAGAACGAAAATGACCTTGACGTACTTTAAAGGTCACAGCGGTCAAATATGTTTGGTTTGGTTTTATTTTGTTTAAGATAGAGGCCTCCCCTGTGTGCAAGTGGCATGCGTGTAATGTATGTGTGTGTATTTTGGGAGGCTGCGATATGTTCGTGTTTGTCTCCTTATGATAGCGCGGAACTGAAGCCGACTTTATAGTGCTACCTCACTGAAACATACTGCCGAAGACACCCAGCAGGACGCCCCACCCTGTCACATTATACAGACAACGGGCGAACCGGTCGTCCCACTCCTAATTTACTGAGCGTTAAGCAAGAGTAGAAACTACCATTTTTAAGGACTTTGGTATGTCTCGGCCAGGGCACAGAACCCAAAGCCTTACTCACAGGGGCGAAAGCTCAACAAATAGCCAAAAGTGAGGCATTGTCAAGGGAGACATTAGGAAGAAGAACGTTATTTAGAAAGGAGAGAAGAGATAAGGTCCCAAATTAAGTCGCCTCTTATGATCACGCAATTGGGGGCAGCAGGTACAATTCTTCCGCCCTACCTGCTGGTCAAATATGTCAAACTCTTCAAACGACTTGTTCTGAAGAACTAAAAGGTATAGAATCTTTATATCCGACTGGTGGCTTCCTGGGATAGAGCCCAACACCGTTTGAGAACGAAAATGACCTTGACGTACTTTAAAGGTCACAGCGGTCAAATATGTTTGTTTTGGTTTTATTTTGTTTAAGATAGAGGCCTCCCCTGTGTGCAAGTGGCATGCGTGTAATGTATGGGTGTGTATTTTGGGAGGCCGCGATATGTTCGTGTTTGTCTCCTTATGATAGCGCGGAACTGAAGCCGACGTTATAGTGCTACCTCACTGAAACATACTGCCGAAGACACCCAGCAGGACGCCCCTCCCGGTCACATTATACTGACAACGGGCGAACCAGTCGTCCCACTCCTAATTTACTGAGCGTTAAGCAAGAGTAGAAACTTCCATTTTTAAAGACTTTGGTATGTCTCGGCCAGGGCACAGAACCCAAAGCCTTCCTCACAGGGGCGAACGCTCAACAAATGGCCAAAAGTGAGGCATTGTCAAGGGAGACATTAGGAAGAAGAACGTTATTTAGAAAGGAGAGAAGAGATAAGGTCCCAAATTAAGTCGCCTCTTATGATCATGCAATTGGGGGCCGCAGGTACAATTCTTACGCCCTACCTGCTGGTCAAATATGTCAAACTCTTTAAATGACTTCTTCTGAAGAACTAAAAAGTATAGAACCTTCATATTTGGCTGGTGGCTTCCTGAGATAGAGCCAGACAAAGTTTTAGAATGAAAAGGCCTTGACCTACATTCAAGGTCACAGGTGTCAAATATGTCAAAAACATCAAACAACTTCATGAGGCATAAAAGTATAATATTTGGTTGGTGGCTCCCTGGGATAGAGCTCACCAAAGTTTGCAAATGAAAATGACCTTAACCTATTTTAAAGGTCACAGAGGTCAACAACATTTCAAAGGATTTGTTCTGAATAACCAAAAGGAATGGATTCATAAGATTTTGCTGGTAGCTTCTTGGGATAGAGCTAACAAGATTTGAGAAGGAAAATGACAGTGATCCCCGGAATTAATCATATGCTATTAACAGTCGATGGTTGACATATTCCGTCGAAACCTTTACAGTCGATGGTTGACATATTCCGTCGAAACCTTTACAGTCGTTTTCACCTTGAAACATATAACGACCTACAAGGGTCCGAACTAGGCATGTCTCACCTTATTAGAAGAGGAAATTTATCTAACACCATTATCGTTACAGTGTACGCTGAATTCGACAACATGATAGAATTCGACAAATTTTATTCGATTTTATTGCTTTATAATGGATATTTTAGAATTAGACATCAAATTAAAAAAAAACATTTCACCTTTTTTTTCAAGACATATATGGGAGAAATAGACTGCCTCGTAGGTGAAATGTTTCATGCTCATTAGTTGGTAATACAGATCCTGATACTAAACAATGTCAGCATTGGATTGCCGTGTACATTACGATCCGTTCGGATAGCCTCCCGTCACCAAACCTTTGTTCACTTTTTAGATAAGCAATGCATAACAAGGAGATATAACAATTTGTATACTATTTATTTGGTAATAAGTGGAGTGTATCTACATGTACTTTTAATTTTCATTAACAATATTTCCGATTTGTTGAATTAGTTGTCTGATGGACTGCTGTTACAGATCCTTCATAAATATGTATAGATTTAAGAAATTGGAGCTTCATAACGGTGAATACGATTCTGATTGTTGTTAAATAGTTATTTATATAATGACAGGTAAAATTATGACACTACCATTTAAATAATTACAGTATTAGATAATATGTAGATCATAAATAAGCATCGATGATGCACACAGTTCAATTTTTTATTACTTTCAGTCAGATAAATACATGGAAATTACAAAGCTATAGCATGGCCTACACATACATGTAGAGCGACAGGCTCTGTTGATTTATATTGTTTAACAATTTAATCTTATTATTCTTATAAAATTCTTGATATATTTTCTTCCTTAAAGAGATATATGCGTTACATTCAGGAATAAAGAAAAAATATATTCTTGAACTTTTTTTATATCTGCTCACTTCAATCTGTAATTGCTAGACAAAATGTACATACACGCATTTTTATAATGGATATTCTATATTTATTTAAGTTTATATAACTATCACATGTTGATGAGATTTCCAACATATGTTGAAAGTGTTGACGGGCTTGATCCAATCTCCGCTGTCTCTGAAGTGGGTAGTAATATATAAGTGGTAATATACTATTGGTTATACACTAGCGCGTATGTCCGCGTGTTGTGATTGACTTACATAGGCAATATGTTGATACATGCATTTTTAAAATACATATTCTATTTTTGACGTATTTATTAAGTTTATATACATATCACATGTAGATGGTAATACACAAGCGGTGATGTCCGCGTGTGATGATTGATTTACCTACACATATCCGAAACCAAGTTCAAAATAATCAGCCTGAGCAAATTTAACCTAGTTAGGTTAGAACACATTTACTTGTTTTCTGTTAATAAAATGGTTTATCACAAATCTAGACTATTCTGATTGAAAATTCAGAATTTAAAATTTCATTCATTAAAGTACTTAGTGCTAGTAAAAGTAATGATTGACCAGCTAATAAACAATCACTTCGGATGACATCTACACCATGTCCTTTCCTCGCTTCACAGTGAGAATGGCTTGCAAAATTTCATTTGTATTAAGTTCAAAATCTTATTCATCACATATCGGTAAATGTTATTCAATTTCAATGTTTTAAAACATATTAGTGTCTGCTTCCACGTTTAAATAAAAACCGGTGGTATTTTTTATAACTAACATTTAGGCGTTTCAAAGCCATTTAAGGTCCTGATGTTCTTCTAAATGCAAAGTTTATATAAAATGTTGATTATGTGATCCTAAATGATCTAGCATATCTACATCCAATCTTAGATATTGTCTCTTTATCCAAGATTCTTTAATTGTATTCGTTAAGTTACACGTTGGTGATTTTGAGTTTAAAAACGAGGGTATTTTTACATAAATGCATTAAATATGTTTAAAATGTGTAGGTCATCTGATGGTCATGAAATCTTAATAAAAAGTAACAAAACGAATCAAATTGAAACCTCTAAGAGAAACAGATAATACTTAAGAAAGGAATTTAAGCAATATTAAATTATAATAATTATACTCGAACCGTTGTACCTGCAATAGGTATAATCGTTTGAAAAACCAAAACTATTCCTTCCAATATAATGTAGTACATCACAGGCTTCACATAAATCG